TGAGCACTGAAGAATTGATGCTTTTGAACTGTGGTGTTGGAGAAGACTCTTGAGAGTCCCTTGGACAGCAAGGAGATCTAAACAGTCCATCCTAAAGGAAATCAGTCCTGAATATTCATTGGAAGGACTGATGCTGAAGCTGGAGCTCCAATACCTTGGCCACCTGATGGGAAGAACTGACTCATTGGAAAAGACCTTGATGCTGGGAAAGATTGAAGATGAGAGAAGGGGACGACAGAGTATAACATGGTTGGATGGCATCACCGACTCAACTCATGGACTCTGGGAGTTGGTGATGGACAGGGAGGCCTGGTGTGCTGCAGTCCATAGGGTCGCAAAGAGTTGGACATGGCTGAGGGACTGAACTGAATTGAACTGAGGGGTTATTTAAAAAATTCCTCCTCTAACTTCCAAAAATTTTTTTTCTTTTTAACCTTGTGCTTAGCCTCTTCCTTTTTAAGTGTCCCAACTGCTGGTTCCTTCTTGCTTTCCAGGTTTCAGCCTGGAGCTGATGCTCCTGTGCTTGAATGATGGGCACACCCCAAAACTATAAGGTCTTACTCCTTTCCCAGTGCATCATAACCTTCTCCAGGAACTGAGATCTAGGTCTTCACAGTGGTTTGCCTATTTTCTACCCGGTTCCTATTCTTTTTTCCAAAGTAGCTGTTCTAAAGTCTTTCTACTCTCATCAGCATTCCCATCTCAGCACACACTGCACTTTTAATTATTCAGTTGATTTTTTTTATTATTTATTTACTTGTTTATTTTTGGCTACTCTGTGTCTTCGTTGCTCTGAGCAGGGGCTACTCTTCATTACAGTGTCCAGGCTTCTCATTGCAGTGGCTTCTCTTGGTGGAGAGCTTGGCGTCCGGAGTGTAGGCTTCAGTAGTTGCAGTGAACAGGCTTTGTTGCCCCAAGGCATGTGGAATTTTCCAGAACCAGGGATGGAACTCGTGTCCCCTGCATTGTCAGGGAGACTCTCAATCACTGGACCACCAGGGAAGGCCCTCAATTAATTATTTGAAACAATTGCTTAGTGTCTGTTACACTAGACTAACTTGGAGTTTTGTGAGGTTGTGCCTTTATCTGATTTGATTCTACAGTATCTCCAAAATCTAGCACATGGAGGCAGACCACCTGCAGGGCTTTCCCCCCGAATTAAGAAGAAGATCAAGGCTGTTCAAATTGATGCATCCCAAATATGTCCCTCCCTGAACTGTTTATCTCCTTCGACCCCTGCCCCTCTTTCTCCACTTTTGACTCTTAGGAAGTCAAGTTCTTCCACTTCTTGATCCTTTTCCTTCTCTAGAATTTGCTTTTACCAGATACTATGCTTTTCCCCTTTAATTGTTTTCTTCCCTTGCTCTTCTTTTCCTTCTGCCTGCAAACACTTCTGGAAAGATCCTGCTTTGGAGCCATATGGACGGTAGGGAAACTTGGCTGTTCTTACCAATTGTGACTGGGAAGTTCATCTGACTTCCATATGTTTTAATGTGGAAAATTGAGAGTGGGTCACTTGTGCTATCTATGGGTCAGCACTGCTGTGAAAGTACACTGAGCTCCTGTGTGTGAAATCTCTAGCTCAAAGCGTGGTGTGGAGGAAATATATAAAACTCTGCCACAGATCCTAGATAAGTAAGTAAGAAACATATCTTCAGTTCCTACCACTTTTCCAGCTAACATCAGATAGGACCTCCTTCTGTATCCTGTGCCCAAACTACAGACTTCCCTGCATCCACACACAACTTTTCCTCTTTCTCTCTGTCATGACATTGTTCTCTGGCTTTTCTCCTGCCTTCCTGGAGACAACATTTTATCAATTAAACACTTTCTTTAAAAACATTATTTATTTAGATTGCATTAGTTGCAGCACATGGGATTTTCATTGTGGTATGTGGGCATCTCCTTAGTTGCGGCATGTGGAATCTTAAGTTCCCTGACCAGGGGTTGAATCCATGTCTCCTGCACTGGAAGATGGATTCTTAAACACTGGGCCACCAGGGATGTCCCCTCAATTAAACTCTTTCTTTTCGTTAGCTTAAATTCCTCCTGCTCAACAAGTATTTTCCAGCCAGATCAACATTTAATCATACCCAAGGCTATCTGGGAGAAGGAAATGGCAACCCACTCCAGTATTCTTGCCTGGGAAATCCCATGGACAGAGGAACCTGGAGGGCTACAGTCCATGGGGGTCTCAAGAGTCAAACATGACTTAGCGACTAAACCACCACCAAGGCTATCTTACAAAAACCCCAACAGACACACAGACACACATACACACACACACCCCAGAGTTCTTTCCTGACTTCCTGTTTCTCTCCAGCTATGCTCTCTGATCTCTCTACTCCCTTTCTTGGAAGAGGCATCTAAATTTATTGTTTCAACTTCCTCCCCTCTCACTCACCCCATACTTAACCACAGTATGACTAGGGCTCTCATCACACCACTGTCCCCGTTCCTGCCAATGGTTGCTGAATCTTGCTGGTGAGTCTAACAACCACTGCTTCTCATATCATATCTAGCTTGATCTCTGGGTAGCACTGGACATGGTGGCTACCTTCTCCCTGAAATGTTGACTCCCCTGGTCTTTTGGAGGGCTGTGTCATCCTTCTGTTACTAAGTGCAAGTTTGCTCTGCGCATCGCATGACAGGCTAATGAACTTGAGAGACAGGGGTTGAGGCAAGGAAGAGATTTTAACTGGGGAGCTGGCTGACAGAGAAGATGGCAGGCTAGCACCTCAAAATGTCCATCTTATCATGGGGTCTGGAAGCCAGGCTCCTTTATAGATCAGAGATGGGGGAAGGTAAGGAAGCTAAGCAGAAAGTCCATTAATCTTGCAAACATCTCCCAGAAATGCAAGCTTCAGGCAGGGGACGTGTTCATTTCTTCCTTCCTGCCCTCCACAGGTGGACAAGGTTCTGAACAAAGGCACTTTAGTTTGAACAATCAGGCAGAAGGGCAGGATTCTCCGAGGCAGGCCATTCTGTATGGTTATAATAATAAAAGCAACAAAAAGCAAGTCAAAGAGACAGTTCCAATGTGGAATCAGAACTGGCTTCTTCTCTGCAACACTTCTCTCTCTGACTCTTTCACAGGCCTCTTGGTGTATATGTATCTTCTAAGTAGGCTCAATCATTTTAGCATTATTATTAGTAGTAAACATTAGTCTTAACTATTTCTGGTTACTCTAACAACGTTTCTTAACTGTAGGCCTCTGCTTGTGTGACTCACCTTTCCTGCCCGTCTCTTCTCCTTCTTCCCCTCCTGCTTTCACTTAACTTCCTTCTCAGCTTCACATCTCAGCCTAGAAGCTTCTTCCTCCTGCAAGACTTTCCTCTTCTCCTCAGCTCTGGCGCAGGCACCCTTCCTGGGTGCTTTCACAGCAACCTACGCTTTCCCTATCATATCACTTATCATCTATACCATAATTACCATAATTATGGTATCTTGGCTCAAATTGCTTTTTTACTGTAAGTTCTGTGAACACTTAACTGTGTCTGTGTTTTCTGCCCAGGCTCCTAGCAGAACGCCTGGGTTGCATGATGGGTGGAAGAAGAAATGAATGAATGAGTAGAGATGGTGTTACTGCTGTATTAGATTGGAAGTTAACCTGTCTTATATTTTTTAACGCTGTGCGTTATTACTTGTGTGAACTCAGTCTAGCCCCTTCTCCAAGCCTCCATTTCCTCATCGATAAAGTGGGGAAAGTAAAGCAATGATCCTGAGAGTACTTTGCTAGTGTTTTCTCCCTTAAGCCACACAAAGACCCAGCAAAGCTGAGCTCTGATGCAAGGAGATAAGGTCTGTACCTCGGGTAGCGTGAAGACAGACAGTTTCCTTGGGAGGGCGATTCTCACTGATACCATTGAGGAAGGCGGAGAGGTAATTTTCTTTATCTCTGCTTGCTCACAAGCACCTGTTCTTTGCTTGATGAAAAGCAAAACAAAATCTAACACGAGTCACAAACTTTTCAATTCGAAGAATTTAGCCTCTTCTCGTTTAAAAACAACAGGCTCTTGAGAGACTAGCATTGACCTATATACGCTACCATATGTAAAATGGCTAGAAGGAACAGGCTGTATAGCACAGGGAACTTGGGGCTCTGTGATGACCTAGGGGGTGGGATGGGAGTGGGATGGGAAGGAGGTTCAGGAGGGAGGAGGCTTAGGTATACATGTAGCTGATTCACTTCAGTGTACAGTAGCAACTAACACAACATTGTAAAACAATTAGACACCAATTAAAAAGAAAAGAAAAAACCCCAGGCCCTTCCTAGTCACTCTTCTGAGTCTCTTCACATTTGCTCCTTTAGATCAATGCGGTGTTTTAGGGTCCCCCCGCCTTTTTCCTTCCTGACCACAGTGGGAAGGCACAAGGTCAGGGCCCATGGCCTGCGTCCTCCCCACATCGTGGATAGTGTCCCCGGCTCTGGTCACATGTGGACTGATCTCTGCTCCGAGGTCACTTTGCTAGAGCAGACCCCCACCCCCACCCCTCGCCTGTCACGGGCTCTGAGTCCCCTCAAAGACTCCGACGGCAGCAGGTGGGTGTGGAAACCTCTTGACCTCTTTGAGACCTTGGAGGAGACAGGACGTGGCAAAAAGAGCACCCGCAAGAGATATTATGGACAGGAAATTTATGATTTGTCCTCTAACGTATCCTAAGACTTTGAATAGTACTTTGTACATAAGTAGGTTTTTAAAAAATTTGTTGAGTTGAATGAATGATTTTCAGACTCTCTCTCTCTCTGCCTAATCATTGCCAGGCCACTGTTTCACGTGCACTTTGATCCTCAGTTTATCTCACATTTCTATTCCTTCCTCTCAGGATTTTGAACCCAAGGCAGGGATAAGGGTGAGTGGAGACCTGAGCAGGCCTTGCATGTGAATCTAAATTGTGTTACTCTCCTCCTGCCTGGCACAGCAACAATTTTATTTCCATCCTGCCTGGTGCAAAAAAACCTTATATCATACTCTGCTTTCTCCAGTCTCTTGGTCTTACTGTTAAGGTGACCGTGTGTCCTGGTTTTTGCCTATGGTGGTCAGGGTTTATGCCCGTTTTTCCTGTGTAATTAACAGAAATTGTCCCCTTCACTCTCCGAAATGTCCTGACTAGGGTGATGTCATGGCTAACCCTACCTTTGTTAAACACTTTAAGCTCAGGCCCCCAAACTTAGATTTCTTTGTGATTTAAGGTTTAGGTTTGGGAGTTTCATTGAAACCCTTTTCTCTCCCAAGTTACTGGCTCTTAAAAGTCTTGGTTTTTATAACTATGGTTCTAATGTGGGCAATAAAACATCTATTTTGAAACAGACATTTTAATTAGAAATAAAAGTGTTTCAGGAAAGTAAAACAAATATTTAAATATGTCACCCACGTGGCTAGTGCCACTGGTCCATGGAATGAAGCTGGGCAGTGCCCAATCCTGGTACATATACATGGACATAGGCTGCTCAGGGGAGTCCATGGGTACCAGTGTGGGAATGGGGTGTGAAATGAACTGGGAGATTTCAAGTGGTGTATATATACTACTGTGTATAAAGTTGGACTTCTCTGGTGGCTCAGGGATAAAGAACCTGCCTGCCAGTGCAGGAGAGGTAGGAGATGTGGGTTTGATCCCTGAGTTGGAAAGATCCCCTGGAGAAGGCAGTGGCAACCCACTCCAGTATTCTTGAGTCTGGGAAATCACATGGACAGAGGATCCTAGTAGCTAACAGTCTGTGGGGTCGCAGAGTTTGACACAATTTAGTGACTAAACAACAAAATGTACAAAGTAGATAACAAGAGAACAGATTGTACAGCACTGAAACGTCTACTCAGTGCTCTGTGGAGACCTAAATGGGAAGAAAATCCATATATATATTTATGGATATAGGTGTATATGTGGCTGATTCATTTCTCTGTACAGCATGAGAAACTAACATGGCATTGTAAAGCAACTACACTCCAATAAAAACAAACAAAAAAATCTAAAAACTAAAAAAAAGAGTAGATAAAAACCTGTTAACATATGCAGAGACATTACTTTGCCAACAAAGGTCCGTCTAGTCAAGGCTATGGTTTTTCCAGTAGTCATGTATGGATGTGAGAGTTGGACTATAAAGAAAGCTGAGTGCCGAAGAATTGATGCTTTTGAACTGTGGTGTTGGAGAAGACTCTTCAGAGTCCCTTAGACTGCAAGGAGATCCAACCAGTCCATCCTAAAGGAGATCAGTCCTGGGTGTTCATAGGAAGGACTGATGCTGAAGCTGAAACTCCCAATACTTTGGCCACCTCATTCGAAGAGTTGACTCATTTGAAAAGACCCTGATGCTGGGAGGGATTGGGGGCAGGAGGAGAAGGGGACGACAGAGAATGAGATGGCTGGATGGCATCACTGACTCGATGGACATGGGTTTGGGTAGACTCCGGGAGTTGGTGATGGACAGGGAGGCCTGGTGTGCTGCAATTCATGGAGTTGCAAAGAGTCAGACATGACTGAGCGACTGAACTGAACTGAACATATTGTACTTCTAGTAAATTTTAGAAAAGAAATGAAACATTATAGCCAGAGTCATTTTTTACCAAATGCAGTCACTCTTTTATTTTCGGTTGTATCTGCCCTTTCTCTGGGGACAGTTGGTAGAAAGCGATAGGTCTTATTTGATTTGAGGAGTGTGTGTTAAAGGTTAGGATACTTTATAAAAACTCTTTTAAGATGAAAACATCAGCAGAATGCATAGGCTATCAGTGAATGTTGTTTCTTTCTCCAAATCTGTGTGATAATCCTGCTCATCTTATTCTGATCAGAAGCTCCATTTGGCAATATGCATGACATTAATTAAGAAAATGAAAGTATATATTAATCATTAAATCATTTGGTAGAAAAGTTATAATTGATCTCAATTAAAACATATAATTTGATAGGCAAGCTCTTTTAAAATAAAGGATCCATGGAATTAATCATTAAAATATGGGACCTCAAAAGTTTTTAAAAAGAGACTGAGAACCCCTTCCATGTAATAGGATGTTTTTACTGACTACATGGCAGTGGGGTGTTTACTTTCAGACATTTTTCTGATATTAGTAAAGGATTTGCCCCGAGGCATTCACACACCCTGACCCACCCAATTTGTCTTGTGACAGATTGTTTTTTTCAGGTTGGCTGACTTGGATTGGGCGAGAACGAATTCCATATATTACTTTGGCCTCATTAGAAACACAGTCTCACCAGTAGACCCAGGGGGCAGCCAACTCTGCGTTAGGGGACAGGCAGTGACCACTGAGGGCTGATTAGAAGTGACCAGGCCTTCCCAGAGTCATTATTCCTGTGGCATCCTAATCTTTTCTCCGGAACATCCCTGTGATCCTCTAATGAGGAGCACGGCTCGCCTCTGAGGGTACCTGTGTGTTTAAGAGAAGAGAATCCTCAAGAGGATGTGGAGGAGGCTCAATGGGGGCTGGACAGTGGCCTAATTAGGGCCACTCTTGCTTTCTGACCACCTTTCTTTCTTTCTTCTACAGTTCTTGAACTTAAGCCTCTTCCTGTTTCTCTTCCTTTCCACACCCCTCCACATCCACAGATGGAGTGGCTGCCTTCCGCGCCTTCCTGAAGACGGAGTTCAGTGAAGAGAACCTGGAGTTCTGGTTGGCCTGTGAGGAGTTCAAGAAGACCAGGTCAACCGCCAAACTGGTCTCCAAGGCCCATAGAATCTTTGAGGAGTTTGTGGATGTGCAGGCTCCGCGGGAGGTGTGTTGGCGGTGGGGTCTTGTCAGACCTCCATCCATAGCCCTCTGTCTTTGAAGGGGTTTGAGCCAGGTTTGACGGGGACTTTCTTCTGAACTGAACCTTATTGCTCTGATGGCTCTTGATGAAAAAAAGGGATCACTTTTAAGGTGCAGAGCCCAGGGATTCTATAAAAAGGAGCTCTATTAGGAGTATTCTAGCTGTCTGTCAGTTAAACATGTGCCAGCAGGAACTGTGTTTCTATAGGGATTCTGCAAGATAGATGCCAATAAATCCATGTTAGTTTTCCTAGAGGAAGGCAGCATGGCTTGATGGAATGAGCATGCACTTTGGAATCTTGTTGCAACATTAGCTCCACCACTTACTTGCCTTGTGATCTTAGTCAACTTACCCTGTTTATCTGAATCACATTTTCCCCAGTGTAAAAGGGTACAATATCACCTCCCTTTCAAAACCACTATGAGCATTAGGGGTCAAACACCTAGCCAATATTTGCCATTGCTTAGTAATGAGTAATTACAGTCACATGTTATTTTATGGTCGTTTATTATAATTACTTATAATAGTAATATGAATTTCTATGTACTGCTATTCTGAGTTATAAAACAGGGTTTTACCTGGGAGGGTTTTACAGAAGAAAAAAATTTGCTGTCTTTGAATTTAGATGCATTGTGTATGTAGAACTCTTCAATTATGCTTTGACTTGCGACTCAGGAGGTCTTTGGCCAATGGTCAGAATATAGCAGGCTTCTTATAATTATTGGTTGGATGAGAGATGTACATTCTTAACATAGTCTTTCTCCCCAGGGCATTTGTTTCCTTAGTAGCTGAGAAAGGACAAACAGGCAAATTTACTTTAGGGAACCCACATTAATGCTAGTCTCCGGTTTAACTCTTGACCTGACATTGAGAAGACCTCTGGATTGAGTGTTGAGTAATTTGGGTTTTTTTACCTTGACTGTTACTAATTTTCCATAGTACATTAGACCAGCTTTTTTTCTTTTTCTTTTTTTACGATTACACACTAAATTTTAATAGCACCAGGGAATAAAAGTGGGGAGGTGAGTGGGAAGGGGGAGTGCTCAGTCACTCAGTTGTGTCCGACTCTTTGTGACCCCATGGACTGTAGTTAGCCCGCCAGGCTCCTCTGCCAATGGAATTTTCCAGGCAAGAATACTGGAGTGGGCTGCCATATCCTACTTCATAGACCAGCTTTTTGATATCTCATTTCTTCAGTATCTTTATAAATTGGGATGAAGAATATCTGGTCTTCAGACCTTACAGGACTCTTCCTGGGATCAAAAGGGATGACTTTCATGAAAGCAGTTTGCAAAGTATGAATAACCTTAACGTATTTAAGATCCTGTCATGAATAATTATTAAGTAGGACCAGCTGCCAGGTGCCTTGGCCCTTGAGGGCCTATGATGATGTTCTCTGCTTCTGTCTCCAGGTAAACATAGACTTCCAGACCCGAGAAGCCACAAGGAAGAACATGCAAGAGCCATCCCTGACTTGTTTTGACCAAGCCCAGGGCAAAGTACACAGTCTCATGGAGAAAGACTCTTACCCCCGGTTCCTGAGGTCCAAAATGTACTTAGATTTGCTGTCCCAAAGCCAGAGGCGGCTCAGTTAGAACTCAGATGGGGACTCTTGGAGATCACCGGCTTCCCCCTCCCCTTGCTGCCAAGACCATATTCTAATGTGAAGTGTCATAGGTGTTCAAAAGCAGTGGCGATTAGGTTGGGAGGCCAGGAGTAAGGAACAGATGAAGGGCCATTCCAAAGTCTGATCCAGCCACCAGAGCTCGGACTCTGTCCTACCCCATTTACCCATGTTTGTGTTTTGGTTAGTGGTAGTACACTGTCACCCTTCTCTGGGTTGGCAACTTGCCTTTCATAAGGCCTTGGGTCATCTCCACCAAGAAGGGAGATTTGCTGCGCTGGGCTAATATGTAAATAACACAAATGCAATTTCTACCACTTCCACACGCTCCTCATTTAGGATTCCCAACTCTCGAACTTGTCCTAGACCCCTGTGAGGAAGGGCTAGAAGACTCTGGATCACATTTGTGATTTGCTGTCATGATGTAATGGCCAGTCCTGGTGCTGAGACCTCAGTGGTATCTGGGGTTTTCAACACTGTCACTGACAGGTGGTCTCTGAGGAAAGGGACAAACTCCATGAAGTTGGCTATTTCTTCCATTTCCATAGGACCAGTATGAAAGGCTGTGATCACTGCCCATCTCAACCTAGGAAATTCACAAGACTCCTATACACTTGCAAATCCAGAAAGGATCTTGGGAGATGTCCTTCATCACGTCTGATGTAGATGAGCTGCTATTGAGAAATAGACAGCCTGCAAGTCTTCCTCAGTTCTGCCAAGAAGTTTTCCAGAAGCTGAACGAGCAGGGAATGTAGCACCAGTAGACTTTTGGGCAGTGGGGCACCATATAACCTCTCTGTTGCTTAATGTACGCCCTGCCCTAACCTCCCTGTGGCATCACACATCATTGGCCCCATAGAATGATGGATGGCTTGGTAAATGGAGGTGAATTCCCTTAGCATGGACAGCTCTCTACGTGCCTAATACTTTCCCTGTCTCTCCCTCTTTCCCCCCTTCCATGCAGGTCATGTAATTCTGATGGGGGAGAATGGGAACTTAGGCTGTCACTCTCTTTCCAGCTTGCCTCCTGAGAGCATGCTTTCTTAGAAAGGTCCCTCTCATGAGGGCCATCTTGGCTGATCAGCAGCTTCCTTCTTGATGTTTTGGATTGAACATGGACACGAAAGTGAGACTGAGAAGATCACTGTGAACATCTGGTTTATGGAGAACCTTCCTTCAAGATGACTTCATGGTACCCCGGCACTGCTCTTGGAAGTACATCAGGACACTCTTCCTTGGGTGGTGAGTGAGATGCAGGAAACCTTTTTCCAGCTGCCCAGGAAGAAGCAGCTTGACTTTGGCCCAAGACTGTGGTGCCAGGGAGATGAAGCCTCAGCAGAGAGACCAGAAAGTGGAAGAGGAGCTTGGGAGATGCTGGTCTCCTGGTAGACTGAATCAGAGAGAACAGGCTGGAGGTCGATCGGGGTGATTGACAGCTGATGGATTTGGCTTCACTGCAGAGTTCCAAAGCTTTCAGCTGGACTAAATGAAGCTACACAGATGTGGGTTCTGCAGTGCAGGTGACTGAGGCCTTGGTGGAAGCTGTCTCCTCCTGGGGGAAAGATGGGCCTCTTTAAATGTGAGGGTGTTCCACATTTGCGTTCTCATCCAGCAGCTTCATGAATCTCTTCCTTCCTCAGCTACAGCTACAGCAGGCCAAGAAGGCTCTTGAGTCCCACTGGCAGGGTCCTCTGCCCTGCTGTGTATCTATGAGCATTTGTGAGTGAGGGTTGATTTGTCTGTATAAACCATCAAGGAGAGAGAACATAGGACTGCTGAAGAGACCTGCGGAATTTCATGTTCTAGAACTCTGCAGCCTCCTGTGGGTGTTCCTAGTTAGAGCGGGTAGTATTCTCCCATCCCCACGCTGCCAGAATTAATTTAATGATCAAATTCTTGAACAGGGTATTTCCATCGTTGTTTACATACAAAACATGCATCTGCTGCCAAATCTACTGTCAAACACGAAGGGCATGTAAATTGGAACAGCACAGAGTTATGGAAATGCGAAACGTTCTAAGAGGGGCCTTTTTACCACTTCCACTGTCCCCGGGAGAAAAGTCTGAACAAGAGCGTTGTGCGGGGGCCTCATTTGAAGCCTAGAGTTCTTGCTAAACTACTGGTGGAAGGAAGGCAGCAGATGGTGGTGTCATGGTGTCCGGTGACTTCCTCCCACGATGGGGAGGTGTGAAGGACCCAGCTTGGGTATCCCGAAATTTGACACTAAGTGAGGGTGGGTGGGCTTGTGTTTGTGTGTAGAGGAATGTGATAGCTATGTTTATGGTACTCCCGTGGAGTGTGTGTGTGTGTGTGTGTGTGTGTGTGAGAGAGAGAGAGAGAGAGACAATTAAGAGCACTAGACTTGTACACCACAGAGATGATCTTCCCATGGGTGGAGCTTTCCTCATGCCCTTTATGTCTTGCTTCCCACAAGAGGCACAGAGCTCTCTGCTCTGATGCTACTTTCAGGCACTTTGGTCATGCCAACCCAGATTCTGGTCTGTGAAGAAACAAAGAGAAATGTTTACAACATCTAGAGCAATATCCGAGCATACCTCATCCCTGACCTTCCCCATCACCCTGTCCCACCCGCTCCCCTGCCCTCTTCACAAGCCCCCCTCTGCCTCATTAGGGGGGCACTCCCAGGGGCCGCTTCTCCCATTTGCCGTCTTCCTTGGCGCCTCGTGCCAGGCTTGTGCTGTGGACTGCCTTCCAGGTGCAAGCCATGCAGTGGGCCGGGCAGAGCTGTGACATTTAGGGCTGCTCTCATCCCTGAGTGGCCTTTCAGCCCCGCATGAATATTAACCGATTTGGGGGCTGGTGTGAGATTTTCTGTTGCCCTCGCTAAACCAAATAGAACATCATCAGTGACAACCCTTCAGAGCTCTGGGCACCTCTGGGGTGAGGAAGGATCCCTGAGCAGCATCTATTATGAAACCTGAGGATGTGCAGGGGTTACCCAGAAAGCCTGTTACAATGGCTAATTCCCAGCTTCCACACCCAGAGATGCTGATCTGATAGATCTGGGGTGGGATTCAAAAATCTGCATTTTTAATAAGTTCCCAGGTATGTAGTGGCCTGTGAACCATACTTAGAAAAAAGATGGTCTAAGACAGAAGCTCTCCCCCTTGGCTGTTCAGCGGAATCACCCGGGGAGTTTAAAAAACCCAAACATCCAGACTCCACCCCAGAACAGCTTGGGGTTGGAACTCAAGCATCAGTAGTTTTTAAAGCTCCACAGTTGAATCCAACGTGCAGATGAGGTTGGGAAGCTGGGCCTGAGGAATGGGGGGGGGGGGGGGGGTTGGTCTCCAGCTGGTCCCAGAGGGCTAGAGCACACCCAGCCACAAACAAGCACAATAACCAGGAACCTGCCAACCCTGAATCTGACTCTTAGGGTGGCTGTCTCTGTGCCCTCTCTGACTTGCTCTTTTGAGATAAAAATATTTCGGTCCCAGCTGCATGCATGGGGTATGCCGATGGTGGGGGCTGAAGGGGTCCTTGGGGTTTTCTGTGCCTCCTGGGTCTTGTTCACAGGGCTTCCTCCAAGCTTGCCTCGTGGGCTGCTTCTCTGTTTTCTGTTTGTGTTCATGCACTCACGTGCTTGCTCATTTCATGTTAGGCTGTGCCTCTGTACCCAAGGCCGTGAAACCTGGGAGCTGGTCTTAGGTAGCGGGTGAGGAGCGCATGGCAGGAATAACAGTGGTAGCATGAAAATTTCAGATTTCTCAGTGGAGGGTGTCATACCCTCAGAACTGCAAGCTCTTTGAGTCTTTCTCTGCCAAGGCTGCCGTGGGGTTTGGGCTGTTGCTCTGTGCCCTCACCATTCCCTTGTTGGTCTCAAGCCGGGTGGGCAGCTGGGAAGTTCCTAGTTGATTTTCTTCCTGGTGCTCTCTGCAGAACTTGCTGCTCTGGGTTAACCAAAGCTGTGAATGTCTCTCTGCCCAGCCTCAGGCCCAGCCGCTGGGGTCAGGCCCTGGGCGCTTGTCCCCGGCACAGCTGGGTGTTCAGGTGTGAGGGCAACGTGTGAACTCACTGTGGTTGAGAGCCGGGGAAGACCGAAGAGGAAGGAGCGGGGCTGCAGGTGGGTTGAAGACAAACCACTCCTGTGGCATCTGCTTCTCCAAAAACCGGAAAGGAGAGGTGGTGAGTGGTGAGTTCAGAGGCAGGATGTCTCCCATCATCGAGAGCACCCAGACCTCTCCTGACCCCTGTCTGTGGCCACTTCCCAGCCAGGCAGAGGAGTTCACGATTTTCCATCTGAGGCTCTCCTGCAATCTGCCGAGCATCAGCCCTCTTTAAATCTGCATCCTCTGTTTTAAAAGCAGAAGAGGTGGTGAAGTCACCCCCCGGCAAGGGGAGCCTGTGCCACTTCGCATGAGACTGTGAAGGAAGAAGCCAAGGGAGATGTCTTCCTGTCCCTGCGACCTCGCCGGACCACGCGATGCTGTGGTCCAAGTCGGCAGGATGGGGCCACTGGCCGTCCCAGGTGTGGGGGCCAGGTCCTGTCGATACACTGGTCCCCTTCCTGCTTCTTCCTCCCTTCTGCCCCTCGGCTCCCTCCCCTCTTCCAAGGACTGAACTGGTGGCTGGGCTTGTGTGCCCTCCAGGCGAGGCAGTGTTAGCAGCTGCCGAGTCACGGGGCGCCCGCGCATCTGTAGCAGCTCATCCTCATTGAATTGTTTCATTACCGTGCAAAGTGGAATAATGTCATTCACCTCTACTATAAACAAGGCTGTGAGAACATAATAAACCGAACCTGAACACGCTGCCCTTCGCTCTCTGCCCACATTTCTGGCCAGCTGACTCTTTTGTGAGGAAATGCTTCCTGTAACACATGGACGCCCCGGGAAGGGGCACGCGGCCTCTCCCTGGCAGAAGCTGGCACGGGGCCGGCCATGAGGGAAAGCAGTGGTGTGGGTGAAAATGGGAGGGGAAGGACTTGGGATGAGTGGGGGTGGGTGGAGAGTGACTTCGGGCTGCAAGAGTGGCTCTGAAACTGTGAAGTGCTATGCAAACACGAGGTGGTATTTTTATTAGTGCCACCTACTGCTTGAGAATGCAGGGAGAGAAAAAACTGAGGATGGCTTGTATATTTGTTCAGCTGGAGCTATCTGAGAATGGAGTGGGTTGATCTTGCTTATGCCTCACTTTATACAATTGGTGTGCCCCTGAAAGGCCCAGGTGAATCATCGAATCTTCCCGAGTTT